TTGGGAGGTAAAGACCGACTCCCTTTGAAGGCCACATCAATGTGCATTTACTTTACAGGAGGGTATATTTTGCCTTCTTCTAAGATCGATTAAATCAAGAAATTAGGACCAGTGATTGTTTTTCGTTTACCTGAAAATTAAAGATAATTTTTGCACGGTATATTAAAGGACTCGTTTCTGTCGTTATGTTTATAGTTTCTTTTACACGGTTGTCTACTTTAGGGCTCCTTCCCATAATTGTAACTGCACAAGCGGGTGGCCGTATAAATAGTATGGTAGTGCGAAAATTGCTGATCTTCAATCGGTTACATTTCTCAAGAACATATTAGGGGGAACTAGATCATAAAAACTGAATTTTTCACATGCTTCAAATTTAACACGGTTTTTGATTGGGGATCCGAGCCGTAGTAACACATAAGTGTACTTGCAAAAGACAGAACGATGATTAGATGTTCAAACGAGGATTGCTGTCACCGGAGTGATTGTCCACTACTACAGATTCCCTCAAGTCAGACGTCAGATGAAACAGAGTAGATTAGAACAGCTTTTTACTGCGAGAAAGGATCTGCCCCGTTGTAGCAGAACAGGTGCTGCATGCAGTCTCCTCAAGCAGTTGTTATGTGCCCTGTGCCCGTGCGCACGGCTCCCAGGATTTTGGACATGTCCCGACCTTGAGATACGACAGCCTGTGCGCAAGGTTTCACAGGCGTAGGCCGGATGAATCATGGACTGCCACTTTACCAATAAATGTTACTAGACCGCTTGAGGATATCAACGCACACAAATTTGCGCAATTCCAATTGATTAAATGTCTTGTAATAAGCCGGTCGCAAACCTTTGTCTTGTCTAATTCTTCTGACCCCTAACACTGTGAACTTTTAACTTCATGTTAGCCCTACTGTTTCAAATGTAGGTCATGTGTGAAGAGATGGAATACAGCGAATTGTTGGACACGGCTTGCACAAAGACAGAGCCCGCTGAACGTATGGTTAGTAATCTTTCAAACATTCCTCTGAATGCGTAACCTTTCCTTGAAATAACGTTTCTTGGGATGCCTGCCTTTCCTGTATTTCTTGCATGTCAGTATCAGTCTATTTTATGAGGGTATACATCAATGTCTTTGAACTTTCCCGTCGTTTTCATGCCGGGACGTCCACTACATCAGTACCCGCATCCTGAAAAATATTAACTATTGACATGCCACTTAAAATACATAAGTAGCAATTTTGTTTAGATAAACACATTGACTCGAAAGTCCAATTACACATTTCTTCTGTAGATTTATATCGCCGCCTATGCCGTTTCCGGGTATGCGAGAACCAAAATGCGTGCTGCAACAAAACCATTTAATCCTCTCCTCGGGGAAACCTTTGAGTGTTTACGACCAGAAAAGCACTGGCGCTTCATGGCAGAACAGGTGGGAAAGCGTATTTTTAATGCGTCATAAAGCCTACCTCAATATAAATAAGAGGTGACACTTCTTCATCTTTTGTAGGTTTGTCATCATCCTCCGGTGGCCGCATCCCACTGTTCTTCGAGCGATTGGACTCTCAATCAGGAGATAATGATGAAGAACAAGTTCTGGGGAAGATCTCTCGAAATTGTTCCCATGGGTGGTTGCGAAGTCCACTTAAACCGGTGAGTGAACTATCTAAAAAATTCAATTTACCGAATAAGATTTTAGGGTACACTATCAAAAACCGTTAACATATGAGAAGTAGATAGACGAACATTACCGGCAAAAGCAACAGAGGCCAGATTCTACCCAATCTACCATTTTTAATATTTCCGATTAAAACCGTCAGGAAAATGAACACGTCGCTCAATGGTTAGGGAGTTCGATTTATAACTAACGGGTCGCTGCTTCGATTCTCAGGAGTTGCAGCATCTTGAGTTTACTATAGTTGGCTGACGATGGCTTATAAGCCAGAAATGAGCACTCTAGTTGAGCGGCCGCCGGCGAGGTTCGATATTAAGCAGCGGCACCAGTGTGTCTTGCCATGCCCTTGGTGGTCGTCCCTTTACTATTGAAAATGAATTACAACAAAAAGTAGATTTAATCCATCAGTGAAGATAAATACTAAAAGCGGAATTAAATTTTGTTGCAAAGATCAAACGCGGCCATATAAAGGAAAGAATAATCTATTTATAATTACAAAATGGATGCCGTTCGAAACCAAGCAATTTATTTATCACAAAAGGAAACTCCGCTGTGCGAATGTTGGCGGGACTCGAGAATAAACCCGAGTTAAAACGGGGCAAGTGAGTCTCATAACCGACCGGTGTGCGAGGCGTGCACTTTTCTTGGTTTTTATCCACTTGTAATGCATGCTCCTAGCTAAATTGATCTCAGGAAGACCTTATCTGCGCATGTCTCCGACTTTCTTACGATAACCTATGATGAAGGATTCTCGACAGAATCCGAAACGTCAGGAAAATAAAACATTTGTTCCAGTGGTTGCATCTTCTTCTTCTGAAGACCAAAATGTTGTAACGGTAGCCAAAGCCGTGATATCACCGTCTAACTACGCCTTGTGTGGGTACCCAAGGAATAACACAACAGGAAGAGCGCAAAAGTAGAAGTCTATTTTTGTACCAAATACAACAAATTTAAGGTGAAAAAGGCCTGCACAGCAATGTCCATCGGACCAATCAAATACTGCTCTGGAGCGAGAAGTGGCACGATTGGTTTGTGACTCAGCGGCTAACTTGTCAGATTTTTAGTCTGACCACAGCTTTAAATGTTAAATTATCGATTGATTGACTGCCAGTTGCGCTCGCTGCGTGTAGGCCGATCGATAGCTTGCCGTGAGCGCGGCTCACTGCCTGCTTGCTTGCTTGCGCGTGGGCATCAGCTTTGTAGCCAGTTTATTCCATTAGAGTGAACCCGAACAGAAACGATGACAAATTTACAAATTACGGGTTTCTGTTAGCAATTGCATTTCCATTATATTTTTCAAAATAGGCACTGCTTATCAGGGTAAATGATCTGGGCGTGGTCATTTCAGCCGCTTTGAGGACACTGGTGATGATATCTCTTTGTAATAATGACAAATGTTTCATGAATAAACAACAACTAAAAGAGTTAAGAGTAAAATGCCTGGCCTGTAATTAGAATAAATCGTTGTTATTCATCCCGACTTTGTATTGTCAACCGTCCAGTGTTAGATTGGGTTAAAAGGAAACAATGTTCGCCTTGTACTTGATTCAGTTGTCATACGTTAGATTGCATATCCGATGAATTTTCGTGTTATACATAAGCCAATGCATTTTGCGCGAAATCAATGCATGCGGGCCCCTCCCCAAGTTTTACAGCAGTAAATTTCGCACCACACGAAAACAAAACGACATATAACTTCAGACGGTGACTATATTACTAGTCACTGAGATAATGTTAAAGGTAGCTGTGTTTAAGGCAGCGGAACAAAACAACGGTAAATGAATGCAGAATGAGTACAAATACAATATATCAGTACTCACAGCTGTAAGGATAATTATTCACGGCGGCAAAAAGCTTGGCCGAGCATTGATTGAAGCCGGGGCCTCGGATGAGAACTCAGTCAATCGATTGATCGACCTGATGCCGGCGTATAGACCCCTGCGCAGTCACATCCTAACTGACCTCACTGGAAGGTAATTGGCCCCCTGCTCCCTATAATTGTTGTTTTTTTGTGTCGTTGACGTTTTTGTTTCTGATGTTGGTTTCCAGTAAGTGTTCGAAAGCTCAAACGAATAAAATTATGATTCCAGTAATAGAAGTGCCTTCTACTTCTCTACCTAAACAAACACATGGGATGCGCACATTTGCTACAATTCATGAGTGTTACGTTTGTCAAACATAGAGGTGGCCAGGTTGTCTTTAATGGGTTTTTTCAATGCGGTTACTCAGTACAAAGTCAAGTTTTTCTTCCACGGAACGATTCTTCTATGCCTTGTCCCAAATTCTTTTGATAATTACAAAATTCTTTTCAATAGCATTGAACTTCGGGTTGTTGGCAGAAAGGAAAATAGATTGCAGATCACAGGCGGAGAGGCCGATTGGTTTCTCAAAAGCTATATTCCAGTTGTATATGTTATAAAATTCATACTATCTTGTGTTCAGTGAGATGAATATCTTTCTGTCACATTTCTTTTTAATTGTTTCGTGAGTTTGATTAGGAGGAGGTTCAGATCGTTCTTGAAATGCCCTTTAACATATAACGATTTTCAGTGTTTTCAATCGGTTGTCCATAAATACAGACTCAGTTCTACATGTTTACCAAAAACCTCCAAAAAACCCTTTCTAAAAAGCATTTACCTGAATTGTGATTCGTTGGTCACTCTTAATTATACAGCTGTGTGTTTTAGTCATGGTTTAGGATGACCCAAACGTGTCAAGTTATTGTCGAGAAAAATTAATGTCCACAACAAAAGCCACAAGTTAAAGTGCCCAAGCTTAATAAGAAAACTGTCAAGAAATTGCCCTTTGAAAAAGCGCTTGAATTAGAGATTTTGGCATTAAATATCAACGTATTTTAGCGTTATCGAAGGCCAAGTCAAGAAAAATATAAAAGTCTGACCGGTCTCTTGAATTCGCTGAAGATTGGGCATAAATCTCCTGCTAAAATTGAAAGAAATGACTTTTCTTTTTATACTGGGGCCATTTTTCGGTATATTTCTTTACAAGTAGGCCTCGTTCTATGTTTGAAAATGCACAACAGAGTGTTAGAATGAATACTGCGATTTGGCGAAAATTGATACTCGTCTGCCTCTCCCGTTTCAAGTTTTTC